AAGATGGTAAACGTAAAGTAGGTGGAATTGCACCAGATCGAGGAAATAAAGAAGTTCATGTATATGAATTTAAAGAAAAAAAACTTCCAATACTTTGATCAAATCAAGATAAAAAATCAGTAAAAGTATTAGAGTTTAATGGCGGGGACTGATTACAATTATTTTTAATTAATGCTGTAGAGCTATGAGCACAATTATAAAAATTATAATGTAAAATAGATCCCTTATTATTACAAGGGATATCCGAGGGGGCCAAAGTTCCATTGCATTGACCAAGATTGGCTATTTCTTGGTTTACATTGATGCATATAGTAAGGTATTTTATCATAGGTTTAATTTAATTATTGTGATTCCAATCAGCTAAGGAATTTTTCTAAAGATACTGACTCGATTACTATAGGCATTGAACTGTGCAGAATTCCACAAATTTCAGAACATTGTCCATAAAATACTCCTTCTCTATTGATAAAAACAGATACTTGATTTAATCTACCAGGGTATGCATCAGCTTTAATTCCTAATGCATTAACTGAAAAAGAATGTATCACATCTCCAGATGTAATTATAAATCTAACGTGTGTTAATTCTGGAAGAACAACTCTGTTGTCCACCTCTAACATTCTTAATGTACCATCCTCTAAATCAGATTCAGGTACTATGTAAGAATCAAATTCTATAAATTCATCGTTCATATCTAAGAAATCAGGGTATTGGTAACTTCAATATCATTGATGTCCTTCAGCCAATATTGACATAGAGGGATCACTAACCTCATCCATTAAATATAATAGTTTAAATGAAGGGAACGCAATTAATATTAATATAACGGCAGGTGTTATAGTTCATATTAATTCTATTAAAGTTCCATGATTTAAATATTTATGGGATATAGGTGACTTATGGCTTATAAAATTTCTTATTATAGATAATAATACTCACCCCACACTAAATAGTATTATTACTAGATAATACATGATATTATCATGTAATTCTACTAATCCTTCCATTTGAGGAGTAGCACTATCTTGGAAATATATACCTCAAGCGCTAGGAGCATCAAAACTAATAAGAAAAAAATTTCTAATTAAAGTCATTATTTCCGCATTTTTCTATATAGAATAAGTTTAATTTAATAACTATGTTATTATTGAAAAAAGGGGTCATTATATAGAATTGGTATAAGCTATCTTACGTTACGAATAATATAAATTGCGTATATTAAGTTGTCTTACGCTACGTATAATAAAAGGAAAGCCATCATTAACGCGAACAATCCTGTGGCTTCTGAAAAAGCAAAACCTAAAATTGCATAGGAAAACAATTGACCTCTTAAAGAAGGGTTTCTTGCTACACCTAAAATTAAAGATCCAAAAACTACACCTATTCCAACTCCAGCTCCTATTAATCCTGTAGTGGCTAAACCTGTTCCTATGATTTTTGCTGCTTGTATCATTTTTAAGGGGTTTTTTTATGTCAATGTTATCACATAATAAATATGATTTATAAATATAATGTGTAAAATTATTTCTGCTAATTAAGAGCCTAACCGCCCCCGCCAAAGAGCTAGACATGCTTATATACATATATCGGGTTCTTATGGTTACCGTAGAATTTAGATATTTATCACTAAAAATACATATAGAAATTATGCACTGTGCAAAGAATTAAGCAAAGAATTAAGCAAAGAATTAAGCAAAGAATTAAGCAAAGAATTAAGCAAAGAATTAAGCAAAGAATTAAGCAAAGAATTAAGCAAAGAATTAAGCAAAGAATTCTCTACTTCTCACACTATATTGGACCGGACAACTTATAAATTAATCTTGTTTTTCTCATTTTAATAAAGAAATGTTTATAAAACTTCCTTTTTTTGGCCCAAGCTCTGTATTTTGTTTAGTATATATATTTAAAGCACCTTTACCTAATTCAAATATGAAACCTAAAGTTACAATAAATAAGAAGATTAATAATACTATTAATCCATAAACTTCATTATTGAATGAGCTAACAGCATAAGGAAAGACTAAGAATATTTCTAAGTCAAAAAGCAAGAATAAAAGACCATAGATATAGAAAGTTATATTAAATGGAAATCTAGTTTGTAAGAAAGAATGAAACCCACACTCGAAAGCTGACAACTTTTCTTGATAAGGATTATGGGGAGCAAATACTAAATTAATAAATAAAAATAATATAGCAATTATGCATACTAATATAATAAAGATAGTCATACTACTCATTTAATAATTAAATAAAATTTGTACCAATATGGCACCCATACTTAATCATTCTTTATTCATAAATATGAATAATAATATTACTAATGTAATAATAGAAATTGTGATAGCCATAGGGCTAGAGATAGTAATATTTTTATAATTAAACATTACAGGTTTAATTCTATTATTAAGACGCGAACTCTTATTAATAATGTTTCCTTTTAATTTTAGATTTTCTAATAAGGGATTTATTTGATATTCAGGTGAATAAAAGAAAATTTCTTTAATTATATTTAAATAATAGACTGCTGCAATTACACTAGTAAGTATAGCTATTAAAGATAAGAAAACATATCCATTATCTAAAGCTGCACTTAAAACCATCTGTTTAGCAAAAAATCCTACAAGAGGTGGTATTCCCACAAATGAAAAGATAGTAATAGCTAAACTTAAAGATAGTATAGGATTTATGTAAAAATAACCTTTTAATTGGCTAATTAATTGTATAGGAGAATTATTTTTATCTATTAATTCTTTATGTTCTTTATTGTCACTTACATAAGAATATAAAGAGAACCCTATAGCTATTAATATGATAAATACATTTAAATTACTAATAGAATATTGCATTAAATAAAATATAAAAGCTTGAGTTGATTCTATGCTAGATATACTTAAAGCTAATAATATGAAACCTACATGAGAAATAGTACTATATGCTAACAATCTTTTTATTCTAAATTGAGCCAAACCTACAACTGTACCTATTATTAATGATAATAAAGAACTTATTAATAAACCAAAAGTTCAGCTAATAGCTTGTCCTTCAAAAATATAGTTACTTGTGTAAAAAACTAACTCTAATAAAAAAACAAATATAGATATTTTAGCTATATTAGCTACAAATGCAGTTACTATAGTAGGAATAGCATCATAAACATCCGGAGATCAAAAATGGAAAGGAGCTGCACCTATTTTAAATAAAAATCCTACGCTAAGTACAAGTAAAGAAAAATTTATATAATAAGGTTTGTATCAAGAAACTATATTATTATTTATGTCGCTTATACTACTAATTATATATAATCCATCCAGACTAGTAGTACCTGAATTTGCATATAAAAGACTTGTACCTAATAAAATAAAACATGAACTTAAACCCCCTAATAAAAAATAAATTAAACCTCCCGTAGTAGATAACTCGGAATTTCTATATATAGTACTTAATAAATATAAACCATAACTTTGTAACTCTATTGATAAAAAAATAGAAACTAAATCACTAGTTGACATTAAAAATACTGCTCCGCTAATAACAAATAATAAAATCAAAGGATATTCTATTATTTTTAAATGTTCTCCCATTTTATTAATAATTTTTGTTCTATAATATACAAAATTATTAAACAAAAGATCTTTTAATGAAGAATGTTCTTGCACTCAGACTTTTCTAGGATAGAAACTTGTTAATTGTAATATTAATATACTTATAAAAAATACAAAAATATGAAAAACTTGTGTAATACTAGTTATATGTAGTAAACCACCATGTAAACCAATACCTTTACTTATTACAGATAAACTCATTGTATCATGTAAAATACAATAAATTAAAGCTATTATAGCTACTCTATTAAAAAGTATTGACATATCTCGTCTTATAGTGACGGCATTAGAAATTAATAAAGATAGTATAGAAATTATTATCATGTGTAAATATTTATTACTAACCGGGAGAGAAACTCGAATTCTCATCTTTAACGTATGAAATTAAGGTTTTAACCTATTAAACTACCCCGACTTAGGCTAGGGAAAATACTCTGAATCGAACAGAGAACCTACTGTGCCACATACAGTTGCTCTACCTATTGAGCTATATTATCCTTAATTATCTAAAAAAAATTTTTTTTTGCGGCGGAGGCGGACTAATGCGAAAGATGAAAAACTTATCTCAATATAATCTGGGTCCCTAAGGGTATATTTTGTTTACCTTTGCTTCGTTTATACTTTGGGATTAAGAAGGCGGTGCAACCTCCTTTTGTCCGCCGACAATTATTTCCACAATTATTTGTGACTGAACTCTAGTATCAGACTGAACAAATCACATTATATTGAAGTGGGCCAAAAATAAACCATTAAGCGGTGTCCTAATTCTATCACCTTATTGCCTAATTTTATGTTGGAGTGATTCGAACACTCAATGTTAAGTATCAAAAACTTATGACTTACCCATTAGTCTACAACATATATATGAAATAAATAGAAGATAAATTAAAATTTTTGCCTTTGCTTCTTAGTTCATACTTTGGAATTAAGAAGGCGGTGCAACCTCCTTTTGTCCGCCGACAATTATTTCCACAATTATTTGACAAGAGAACAAGCATTAAATTTAAGTGGCACGCGAAGCTCCCGGCATATCCTACAATCCTAATAAAATATATCTTATATATAGGTGGCAAGACTCGAACTTGCACAGTCTAAGACTCTTCTGGCCTAAACAGAAGATGGCTACCAATTTCATCACACCTATTAAAATAAAAAAAATACAAAAAATATAAAGTATATATGTTTTATTTCGGGTCAGATATCGCGGATCAGAACTTGCCTTAATCTTCGACTGGAGTTTAGTTTTATCCTTTTTCCTCGGTTTATCCACGATCAAGAGGCCCTTGTCTAGGATTTATGATTTCGAGTGAAACGATGTATTCCTAAATTTTTCCTTATCGTCTTAAACCACGAGTAGTAAAGCGGATCCTTAAAAATATATATAATAATTTTTTTTTTTGCTCGAGATAAGATTTGAACTTATAACCAAAACAGCTTCAATGTTTTGCTCTACCAATTGAGCTACCCGAGCTTATCTTCAAGAGTTTGTAGATTAAATTACAAGAAGAGAGTTTTTTTATCGCGAAGCAATATTTATATTTTAGTTGCGTCTACTTTTTTTTTTCTACCTAATTTTCACCGGCCAGATTTTATTGGCCGGAATTAAATAACAAATATATAAACTATAAAATCTATGCGGATAGAGGATTCGCACCTCTATTTTTTGATCATGAGTCAAAGATGTTACTATTACATTAATCCGCGTTAAAGACTTAGGCCTTTTTATATGGAGATACTAGGAATCGAACCTAGGAATCCGACGTGCAAAGTCAGTGTTTTACCAGCTAGACTATATCCCCTTATTTATCTATATTTTATTCTTTCTTTTTGGCCGCCACATTATATTGGGAAACCGTTCTTCCTATCTTATTATAAAAATAAAATAAAAAGGTAACCCTACTTGCTACCTACTTGATCACCATCCAATAACCTAAAAAAAATATCCGAAAAAGGACTTGAACCTTTATGACATTATGTCTACACAATTTAAGTGTGTTGTGTCTACCATTCCACCACTCGGATTAAAAGCATATATAGATTTATATGAGCTATTGGTACATTAAATTAAGTAAGCTTAATTTAACTTTATTTAGAGGCATAATGCCTCTCTAGCCAGCTAAAATATAATAATGTAGGACAAAAATATAATATCCAGCCCCATATAAGGTTGGCTGGATTCATACTTCTTAATTCCAAAATATGAACTAAGAAACAAAAACATTATAAAATCTATGCGGATAGAGGATTCGCACCTCTATTTTTTGATCATGAGTCAAAGATGTTACTATTACATTAATCCGCGTTAAAAAAAGACTTGCGTCAATTATATAGTAATAAGGCTAAAGTGACTTGAACACTTATAATTACCGTTATGAGCAGTACGTTTTACCAATTAAACTATAGCCTCTAGGCGCAAGCGATAGAAATAAATATATTATTTACTGGCGGCGTAGCGTAAAGAATTAGGCAAAGAATTGTCCACAGATAAATTTAGACTAGGCGGGGCTCGAACCCGCGAATATAGCATTGAAAGAGCTATGTCTTAACCAACTCGACCACTAATCCTTAAAAACAACCCAGTGCAAGTATCGCACTTGCGTCTATTGATTACAAAACAATTGCATTACTTTTATGCTAACCAGGCGAAGGACTGATTAGTATTTAGTTTATACTAACTAAGTCAGCGTAAGATATATTAATTAATTAGTTTTTTATAAAATTAGTACTTAGTTCCTTAAAATCTCTAGATTCTTACAAACAAAGCCTATTTTCGTAATATTATATTACGTATATTTAAGAAATAGCTTAAGGTAAGTTTCGTGCCTATATGCTTTCAGCACTTATCTTTGGCTAACTTAGCTTTCCTGCCGTGCCTATGCTATTTATTTACTTAAGTGACAGTAACATCCCCCATCACGAACATTAGAGACTTCTAATTAGCTAGGGAGCACATAAACAACAGGTAAACCATAGGTTAACAAAACTACTATGCAACAAGGCATAATAATAGTACCCCACGTTCCTTTCGTACAAGGTTATTCCTTATTATATTCTAATTTCCTCTAGAAGATAGAAACCATACTGTCTCACGACGTATTTAACCCAGCTCATGTAACTTTTTAATCGACGAACAGTCGTACCCTACATAGTTTCTGCATCCATGAGGATAAGTTAAGCCGACATCGAGGTGCCAAACCGCGCACTCATTTTGTACACTCTTGCGCAAATTAGCCTGTTCAACTTGTTATCATAAAGTACTCTTTATTTCCATCTTTTTCAAAATGGTTCAGACTATTTCTTCATTTTTTTTTATTATATATTAAAAGCACTAATCTCATCTATCCCGCTTTTTGGGGAAGATAAAATTTATTTACCACTAATTCAACCTTTTACTGCAAATGCTCCAATACGACGTTTAGATGTATATATTGAATATTCCACATTAGGTTTAACAAAACCTCTCATATTTACAGAAGATAATCCTTTATAAGAAGAATCTATATTTTTTAATCCACCTTTTCATTTTACTTTAAATACAGCTCTATCGGCTCTATAACGTCTAGTTAATCTACCTTTAATTTCTAATCTTATACCTCCCATATTTTTATATTTAATAGAATTAAAAATAATTTCATATAATTTTTTAGCGTCCAGACTTTGTAGACTGGGTGTTAAAGGTGAGTTCCCTAAATTTGTGCTTCCCTGCATCATAAGATTATAATACAAACTATTTAATAATTTGTCTAGCGAAGCGTAGTTATAATTTTCGCCGTTCATAAGCGATGTATTTTTTTTTTGCGCAGCTATAATAGAATTTAAATTAAGATTTTTAAATTTATTATCTATTAAATCAAAATTAACACTTTTAATTGTAAGAGCTTTTTCTCTTACTTTATTAACTGCAGGAAATTTAACTTTATTTAATACAATATTCATTAATCTTATTATACCAACTTTTCTATCTTTTAATTTCAAACTTAAAATTTTTGTAAAAAAATCGCTATTAAGAACAATAGATTTCATATTTATTAAATTAAATTCTACTTTTTTATTATAAAAATTGCTTATTAGCTTACTCAATTTAGATAAAAATTTTTCTTCAAATTTATATCTATTAAGACTTAATTTTAATTTAAATCTTCTAAATAATATCAACTCTTTATATAATAAAGTAATAATAGTTTTTTTTAAGAGCGAAGCGCCACCCTTCTTTGAAATATTTTTATATAACTTCTCGCTATTATAAAGCAAAGAAAGAATTCTTTTATAAAATAAATTTTTTAATCTATTTATTTTTTTTAATAAAACTAATTTTTCTCTATTATAAGTGAATATCGTAATAGTAGCCTTAGAATTAGTATGTTTTATTTCGGCTTTACTTACAAATATTTTATTTAAAGATAAACGATTAGTTCTAGGTGATTTATATTTATTTTTAATAAATCTATGATTAAAATATAAATTAAAATAATTTTTAACTAAAGTATTAATATTTATATTATATACAGGTATATTTTTTAAATTATTAAAATTAAACACATAAATACTATTTTTTCATTCTTTTGAAAAAGGAGGAAAATATTTAGTTTCTCCTACATCATTAATTTTTGTATTAAAAGGTATTAATTTAGAGTTATTTTTAATAAATTTATTAAAAATAGATAATTTAAGGTCTGAGCTCTCCTTATTTAAAGGAGAATTCATAAGAGTATTTGTATTTTTTTTATTCATTAAAATAAAATTAATATAATCTAAACCTAACATATATAATAAAAAAAAGTTGGGTTTTAATAAAGGATTGTTAAAGGCGTCAGCTACCACCACCTACGCAGGTGATTGAAGAAGCTGTGCTCTAACTCACCTTCTAGTCGTTGAACGGTTTTATCTAATATTTTTACGCGCTATTTATTAGCGCCTACCCAGAATATGGTTGGTACAATGACCATAAAAGATAAACTTCGCTTCAAATTTACTCCATGGCAGAGCCATAATACGAGTAATTTTTGAAATTAACCCAATTTATTATCAATCATTTTATATAACATATTTTATATAAAATATTGAAGGACAAACATCCCTAGCGTAGCTTTTCCAAAAATCCAAGATCTTTCCTTTTTGCATCTTGTGATCCTATGCCCCGCTTACGCGACTGTAAGATTTGTTGTTAATCAAACAGTAAAGCAAGATTAAGCCATTAAACTTGATAAGTATAAAACAATATTATTAAGACGCTAAAGCGCCTTAATAATTCTAAATATTAAAGACCTGTATTACCTCTTTTGCAAAGGCATACATTCTAATAATATATTTATTACATCTAATTTCTCCCTAGTGAAAATCTTACCTAATTTCCTATAATTAATTACACAATAAATACGTAAAGAATTTTTATGCCATATATATACAGGATTAAATATAGAATAAAAAAAATTTTTTTATTTCTATCTAAAACTACAAACGAACAATAATGAATAAAAGGAAAGCGAAGCCTTCCCATTCATTAAAAATAGTATACAAAATGTAAAACAATGTTTACAAATTTGTAAATTTTTTAGACACACCCATTTACTCTTTGTGGGGTCTGTGCCCCGCATAAACTGTCTCCTAGCAATTGTTCCTTTAAGGTTTAATAATATGATAGAATAATAAAGGTATTTCAGTTTTATATTAATCAATTACCTTATATACTAAAATTTGCCGGAATCATATTCAATAATTAGTAACAGTAAAGCTGCATAGGGTCTTCTCGTCTATCTAGAGGTAAACTGTATCTGCACAGTTATTCCAATTTCACTGAGTCAATCATAGAGACAGCTGTTGTATCGTTACATCATTCATGCAAGACCGCATTTAACGGCCAAGGCATTTCGCTACCTTAGGACCCTCACGTTAAGGCCGCCATTAACCGGGGGTTCCTTTAAAACCAAACTTTATTAATTTAGTTAATTCGTTAACCAGCCGGCACCGGGCAGAAATCACACTCAATACTTAGATTTATCATCTTTTTGCAAAGTGCTTTGTTTTAATTAAACAGTCGTACAACATTATTTCATGCTTCTTCGTTTTTACTCGTATTAAACGAGACTAATGAGCCCTCCTTATCCCTAAGTTACGGTAGTTAATTTGCCGAGTTCCTTTATGATTGTTATCTCATTTACGCCTTCGTATTCTCTACTAGCTTACTTGCGGTAGTTTTTAGGTACGGTTATAAATAATAAGAGCCTCATCTCTTTAGTTTATTGGCTTACTATTATTTAAATATTACTCATTCTTCCAGCACACTTTCCACTTAAAAATGTTGTTTTAAAGTAATAAGATTTTCTCATCGCTATAACCTTCAGATTATAAACTTAGAGGCCGTTACTTTATGTAACCATAAGCTTTAGGCGAGACTTTGCTTTTTCGTTACTCATGTCACCATTATCACTTGAATTATATCATAATTTTATAAAAAAATTAATCTAACCTTAATTCAACGTTCTGCTACCCCAGTGTGTAACAATAAATATAATATTTATAGTTATACATGGACAAGGTATCGGTATATTATTTAGATCCGTTAAATTTTCGATGCTTTTAAAATTTAACAAGTGCTCTATTACGAGATCTTTAAATTATGACTGCTTCTAAGCCCATCTCCTTGTCGACTTAAATAAAAACCTTCTTAATTTCACTTAATAATAATTTTGGAACCTTAACTCTTGTTCTGGGCTGTTTCCCTTTTGACATACAACCTTATCATTCTATGTCTGATAATTCAAGATTCATCTTTGTCATTTCGAGTCCACATACTCACCGATAGAACCTTCACGGTCCCCCGATGTATACAAAATAAAATGCATTTTCAGAAATCTGAAAATATGCACCTTGTCTGAGATTAAGTTCTGTACCTACTAAGATGTTACTTAAATTGCCTACTATTATAGGTTTCGCAGAAAACCAGCTATCCTAGTCAGAATTGTCTTTCACTCACTTACCATAGTTCTTCGGATATCTTTACAACGATAACCCGTTCGGACTTTTATAATCCTGACTATAGTAAGATCACTAGGCTTCGGGTCTAACTTTAGACACTGTTCATTATTTTAATGATCGGTTTAACTATGCTTATATTAAATAAAATTATTTAAATCTTGCTCGCACCTAAAGTTAACTTGGTGACCCATTATGCAAAAGGTACGCTCTTGCTTTTTTAATTTAGCTTGAGCTGCTTATAAAACTACTATTTCAAAAATATTTCCCTCACGGTACTGTTCACTATCGCTGATGTATTATATTTAGCCTTTGAGGAAGGTTCCCCATACAATTCAAACAGCTTAAAAGCCATTTTACTTATTATTATAGGCTGTTCTATTTTCATTCACACTAATCATAGAATCTCGTTTGATTTCTTTTCCTGAAGCTAATAAGATATTTCACTTTGCTTCGTTTATCAAGTAATTTCTCTAAGAGTCGATTTTGCCAAAAATACTCTTTCACCCTTTAATACATAGCTATATTTCCATAATAGTCTCTTTGTATACTTAAATATATATATCTTTAATTAGAGATATATATAATTAAATTTTATTTATATCAATTACATTTCTATAAAATTTTTATTTTCGGATTACTATGATTCGAACATAGGAAATCCCCATCCCAAATGAGGTGCCTTACCACCCGGCCCTAATCCGTAATAATAACAGAGAATATCCGATTCGAACGGATGTGATGAATAATCATCTAATAAAGCTCAAATTTACCGCCTTAAACCACTCGGCCAATTCTCTTTACAAAAAAAAAAAACGTAGCTCCTTAAAAAATTCATAGTTTGCGCCCGCCTTTTCTTCAGACTTCTGAATTAAGAAAGAAGAGCAGCTAAATTATAATCTTACTAGCGATTACGCTTCGCTAGTGACCGCAAAAAAAAAAAAGAAGTATAACTTATAAAGTTCTACAGAACTCACGTCTTAATTCTTTCAAGACTCGAACTTGAAAAACATTCTTATCAAGAATGCACTTTACCTATTAAGTTAAAGAATCTTATAATTTAATCATTGGGAGATAGGTGACTTGAACACCTAACCATCCGTGTGTAAAACGGGCGCTCTACCATTGAGCTAATCTCCCTAAACCCTTAATTTTTAGGTTTTATGGTGATAACTATAGCCCCCACCATTGCTAATAATAATATAAAACTAGCCATTACTAATCAGATACTGTAATTAGTATACATAATATTACCTATAGCTGTAATATGACTATTTTCGGCTAAATTACCATCTCAAGTATTACTAGTAACTAATAATACCTGACTATTGTCAATATTAAGTATATTTTTTTGTCTTAAAGTATCTATGTATGCATTTGAACTATTTTTAAAGCTTGTCCCACCTAGATTATAATATGATAATTGTGAAAAAGGATAACTAAATAAAATACCTATTAAAATAGATAGTATTATATTATTATTAGTATTCGATTGAAGCTCACTAATTCTAATATTAATCAGCATTAAGATGAATAAAAATAATATTGATATAGCTCCTATATACACAATTAAATAAGATATACCTATAAAAGTTAAACCTAATATAATTAAATATGAAGATATCCCTGCAAATAGACCTATTAAAAATAATACTGAAACTATAGGGTTTTTACTAATTATAACAAATATACCACATAAAATAGCAATTAAAGAAATAACATCTAATATGTTAGGTATAGAACCATTAGTATAAATTTCGTTGGTTAAAAATAAATTACTCATAAAAATATAATATAAGTATAACCTCACAAAAAGAGGAAATATGTAATATAGAGATACAAAAGCCAATTGTATATATATATATATATACTTAGATATAATGAAGTATTATGTATATATTGTACTATATTTCAAGAGTACTCAGATTTGAACTGAGAACTTAAAGGTTGAAGCTTTTTGTTTTACCATTAAACTATACTCTTTAAGATCTTTGATGATGTTTCCCAGTCATTATAGTTATTTAGTGTTTATGCAGCAAAGCCTTAATATTCATCGGAAAAGAGGTGACTCGAACACCTAAGTGTTAATACACAACATTTAGCAAATGTCTTACCCTACCTATGGCAACTGTTCCTTAATACGAATTAGACCGGGATCGAACCAGCATCTGCTACCGTGACAAGGTAGCCCTCTACCAATTAAGTTACTAATTCTTGGCTACGATTAGTCTAAATCTAAATTAGATAACATATCATTTATTATGATTATTTTTTTTTTATACCACTATGCTGTGAAGAAAAGCACTTAAACAAAGCTCACACTCTTTGTTTGCCGTTATTTTTGTACGAAAAAAAAAAGCTAGCAGGCCTGGTAACTACAACTAATCGGACTCGAACCGATAAATTCTATTTGGAAGACAGGTGTTTTACCATTAAACTACAGTTGCTTATACTTAATTCTTTAGCCTTATTCAAAAGACTAGCCGCTTAAAATTTAGCCTCCACCTAATAAATAGGCTAGCTCGTATATCATTCGTAGGGAGTGCAGCGACCCCTCCCGGTTAAAATGACTAAAATATAATTTTGCGTGCGACTTCAATCACCTGCGTAACTGGTGGTAGCTAGTGCCTACCTATATTTAATATTTTATATATAGTAGGTTAATACATATTCACATGAGATTTATCGGATTCGAACCAATTTCTTTGTGATTAAAAGTCACATGTATTACCGTTATACTAAAATCCCTACTGAGTATTACTTAAACTAAGTAATAAAAAGTAAATTACCACGGCTAAAAACCAGCCACGCCTAGGCAAAATATAATCTTGCTAGCGAAGCGTAGCGGATTTTCCCGCCAAATAATTAATTTAAACGGCGAACAATTCTTTACCTGGCTAATTTTTCTTTACAGCTAGTAAATACAGCGGCAAAAGGACAAAAATATTCGATACCCTTTTTAAGTCTATTCTATTTCTTAAGAACCTCAATAATAGATAGCAAAGTATAAGAATAATCAAACTACGTCAACAAAATGTCAATAAAGTATCCCACCTTCAAATCCTAAGTGATGATTATCAGTTAAATGGTAAGCATATATTCTTCATAATGCTACCCCTAAAAAGATTGTACCAATTATAACATGAAATCCGTGGAATCCTGTACCAAAGAAAAAACATGATCCAAAAGCACCATCACTTATAGTAAAAGAAGATACGTTATATTCAACTGCTTGAAAAATAGTAAATACTACAGCTAGTAACACTGTAATTATTGTACCATATATAGCTCCTTTTCTTTCTCCATATATTAAAGAATGATGAGCATATGTTACAGTTGCCCCACTTGATAATAAAAGTACAGTATTAAGAAGAGGTAATTCGAAAGGATTTACAGGTTCAATACCTATAGGAGGTCATTGAGCTCCTAACTCTACAGTTGGTGATAAAGCACTATGGAAAAATGCTCAAAATATAGCCAAAAAAAATAAAGCTTCAGATACTATAAATAAAATAATACCTAAATTTAATCCTTTTTGTACAGCTAATGTATGATCCCCTAAAAAAGTCCCTTCAGACACTATATCACGAAATCAAAAAGACATAGTAGATACTAAAAGTACTAAAGCTAAATATAATAAATAATGACTTTCACTAAAGCTATGCATAGATAAAGCCGCAATACTAGTTAAGTTTAATAAGCAAATACTTGTGTATAAAGGTCAAGGTGATGGAGATACTAAATGAAAAGGATGATCTTGAAAATTACTTCTAATAAAATTAGTCATATAAATCTTTTTTGTAAATAAAACAATTATATCTAGATTAATTTTCTATATATTTATATAGCGGTTCAAATATGTTTACTACCTAAAGTATTAAATAAAATAACTAGAACTACAGCTCCGCCCCTAAGAAGAATCGAACCTCTATCATAATATTAACAGTATTATGCTCTACCGTTGAGCTATAGAGGCTTATTATGGATATAACAAGTTTTTCTAGCGAAGCGTATCACACTAAAAACTAATATTAAGTATCCCCTATACGTGTAAAGGCAAGCTTTAAATTATTAGGAGACAAGAGATTCGAACTCTTAAAACAATAATTGTACCAAGTTTACAGCTTGGCCCTTCTTACCAATAAAGGAACCCTCCTTTTTTAGCCCGCCCTGCTAAAAAATAAGCTAAAATATAAACTAAAATATAAAATAGAATATTGCTAGCTAAGCGTCGCCAATAAATATGTAGCCTACATTTGGCACCATATTAAACCCATTTAGATATTAGTTATTTAAGGCTAATCCATCCAAGCAAATCTGCCAATAGTCTGAGCTTTCTTTTAAAGATTAATTGGCTTTGGACCGGTAGACTAATTTTATCTATCCCGCTTTTTTTATATGCTAAAAAGCTTATCTTATTACTTTAAATTATTAATCGTCGTTTTTACATTGAACCTGTAAATGTGTAGGGTTCTTAAGCAATTTAGCCTGAGAACCCTAAATAGTAATTAGAAAGGAAGAGATTCGAACTCTTAAAATTTGAACCTTCTACGCACAGCTAAAATATAATGCCGCTTCGCGGCATATAGCTTTAATTTAAGGTTCAATTATTGTATCCTTATTAAACCCTTTCTCTATATATAATATAAATTATATATACATATACATTATTGTTATACTTTATAAGTCCCGTGCAACTTCCACTACACGAACCGTATTTCGACTTAACACTAATCAGAATCGCACATAGGAAGAATCCCGTTATAACATCTAAAACTTTAATTTTTACTTACTTATAACAGAAGAGCAAACTTATTGCACCAATTCTTTTCAGCATGCGACGAGTGGTTAGTACCAATCCGAAGTTATATTCACCGTGTCGTGGTGATTCACGATTACTAGCAATTTCTTATTCATGTAGCCGAGTTTCAGACTACAATCCATTTCCTTTTTTATCCTATTTTTTGAGGTTAGCTTAAATTCACATTTTTGCATCTCTTTGTTTAGGAAAATGTGGCACGTCTATAGCCCACAATATAAAGGCCATGATGACTTGCCTTGGTCCCTTTTATCATATACAATATAAAGGTGAACTGCTTTATAATTAATTTGTATTTTTATAAATAAAGCTAGGGTTTTCGTTAATTTTATGGACCGAACCACAGTTTCACAACATTAACTGAAGACAGCCGTGCAACGCTTGTATTAATATGGCAATTATCCTGCAACCTTTTTATTTAAAAGAGGTTGTTAGGTTAATTGGGCTCTTTATAATATAAAATATTATAATTTAGGATAATTGATATTAATATTCAAATTGTGGTAAGGTTTTTCGTGGATCATCGAATTAAATAACATACTTCACTGCTGGTGTCAGAAACGGTCTAGTGATTTCAGTTCCTGCGTTGCCACATTACTCTTGAGGTGAAATGCTTACACTTTCGTTTATAGACTAAATGTGGAGAAATGCGTGTTATGCTCTGCCCGATTCAATTTATCAATACTATTGACTATTAAATCGACACATAACTTTCTCATTAACCTATGGCATTCATAATTCTCTGCAAAGACTATTAGGGTATCTAATCCTGTTCGTGCCCTGTGCCTTCGTCCTTTAACGTCAGTTTTTACATAAAAGGTTGCCTTCGCTTTTACCAGTCCTCCTAGGTATCAACAAATTTTATCTCTTCACACATGAGTACTACCTTTTCACATCAAACTCTAGAAAAATCGTTCCAATTAAGGCAAATTTTTCCGTCTAAGTACCCTTTAAACCTATTTATGATGAATAACACTAGTCTCTTACGTATTGCCGCGACTGCTGGCACGTAATTAGTCAAGACATATGTACATATTGTCATTATAAATATGTATACAGAACTTTATTCGATAAATCGATTTATAGCGTTCCTCCAAATTACCAGTTCAGCCGTTAGGCCATTGACCAAAATTCCTCACTGCTGTACTCACTTGTCTTGGGATTTTTTCATCCCCAATGTGGTCGATCAACCATTTCAGCTTCGACTAAGAGAATTTTAGGCTTGTTAAGTCATTACCTTAACAACTACCTATCTCTACGATATTTCTTTTCCTCTTAAAGCGGTTTCCCATTTTTTTTATGAGGGATTTATTTGCCCTCTCTTTAAGGTAGGTCGAAAATCTAATACTCACCTGTACACCACTTTTAATTAATTAAATTAAACGTTCGATTAGCATGTGTCAAGTATTTGGACAGTGTTCATTCAGAGCCATCACCAAACTCATCTTAGATGATATCTTACTTCATTAAAGACCTATTATACCAGGGCTAAGAGCCTAGGCATATTAGGTAATTAAGACATAATTAAAAGCATAATTTAAAATTATATCTCCTAAATATGTTTTTCCAATACATCACTATAACATTTTTAAATTTTTTTTAACCCGATGTAAAAAAAATTAATGTACTAGCATAGCCGCAGCACAGCTTCGTTATAAACAGCGAGAAAATCCCTATATACAATACCCAGTCAATTTAAAGCCGACTAAATATTCAGTATCAGCATCAGCAGCAGCAGCAGCAGTATCAGCATCAGCAGCAGTATCAGCATCAGCATCAGTACCAGTACCAGAAGTTCGTAAAACTAATCTTTCTAATATTGTATTTTCTCCTAGTATGTTAGGTGTGGATATTCGGCATACTCCTGTCCTAATCGCAAAACAGGAAATTCTTTCCTTTTTTATTCCTCTTTTATTAATAAGAAGAAATATTATTCTACAGATTCCACTCTTTCACGCGAAGCTGCGGTGACCTCCTCTTCCTCTTTTTCTCCTATTTCAGTCCCTATGGTTGAGATAGAATCTAAAACTAAAGATTCTATACTTATTCCTCTTACTATGGCTGTCTTATCAGATGATAGAGAGTTTAAAAATACCATTACTAAAGAAATTGACAAGGACTCGCTTTATACCGTGTTTGCTAAGGTTAGAACTACTAGTAATAATTATTTTATGATTGGCTCGCAATTTGGGTTTATTCTTTCTAGAGATGGTGCTGAAAGTATACAAGATATTTTACTTAATAGATTAGCTGAAACTTATGAGGAAGCTTATAATATTTCTCATGCTGATATTGAGTATGTTTTACTTACTTTCAATTTTAAGGATAAAAAATTATTGTCTGAATTTAAATTAGATGAAATTAATAAATTGCCTTTGACAGAACAGAAAGTTATAAGGACTGCTAGTTCTATTCCCTTTACAGTTAATGAAGAATCTTTAGGTCATCCTCTCGATGTAAATGTATATGATAATAAAATTTCTAATATTTTCTTAACTCTAAATGGAGAGACTAAAGATATTTTACCTTTAATCAGAGAGAAAGATAGAAACAAGAAGTCTTCTTTTGACTTTGATGATAGTTATAAATTTTACTACATAGATAAGATGAAAGGCTTTAGACCTTTTA